TCTGAACAATAAAGATTTAATTTAAAAAAAAAAGAAAAAAAAGAAGAAAGATCAGCCAAGGCTAACCCAGAAGAGCAGAATCACCCAATCAACCACAGACTTGTTGGACACCACTGTGGCTTTTTTCCATGCAGCTTTACTGTGGCATTAGATAATGGATATAGTTTAGCTTTCAGGCATAGCAGGAATTAGACCTGTATTAAGCAGAACAATTTATTAATCAGGAAAATTGATCTAGGTTGCAAGCAACAGAAATCTGACTTAGATTTGCTTAAACACACAACGGAATTTTTTGGCTTATGTTATTGCAAAGTCCAAGGGTAGACACAGCTAGATCTAGATGCCCCAAATTTGTCATTAGGAACCTAATTCTCTCCATCACTTGGTTCTACTCTTGCCTGTCTTCGATTCATTCTCATGCAAATACTCCCATGGGGCAAGATGGCCACCAGTAGCCTCCAGCTTATATTTCATTGTATTAGTTATTAAGTGAAAGAGAATGTCTGTTTTTCAATAGTTCAAGTAAAAGTCCTAGGGACAACTTTCATTAGACTGACCAGGATCACACACCTGTCCTTGACCAACCATTTGGTTTTTTTTTTCAGGGAGATACATGGGACCTGGGCCAGGATCATGCATGCAACCCTGGAGATAGGGGATGGCTGGGTTAGTACTGAAACCACATCGACTAAGACTAAATAAGGAGGGGATTTCCTAAAGGAAAATCGAAATACTGCAACCGAAAGAATGGGGAATAGATGTCTTCTATACTCCTCAGCATTACTAATGAAATCTTTTTAAAAAAGAGAGTGATGACTGAGCATTGTTTTTCTGCAGAAGGCAGTTCACTCCTACCTATAAACACTTTTCAACATTGATGCCAAAGTAGCTATTTTTACGCACAAGGCTTCTTCCACCCTGCCCAGGTGAATAGTCTAAAAATAAAATTTTGATCACATCTCTCTATCACATAAGTAGATAATAAGATCTAGTGGCCATACACATGACAGGGCTTATGACAGTCTAAGAGCAATAAGATGTCTGAACTTAATCTCAAAGACTCTTTGAAGTGTGCTTATGAGCTACCTGAATCATAAAATTGCTTCCACATCCTAACTGGAGGTAGCATAGTGCGGTGGCTAAGAGCACAGATTCTGGATACAGCCTGCCTATGTCTGGGTTCCAGCTCGGACTGCTTTCTGAGACTGTATGACTTTGAGCAAGTTCATTAGTCTCTCTGTGCCTCAGTTTTCCCATCAGTAAATGGGGATCATAGAACTTACTTTATCAGAAGAGTAAATGAGTCATTATATGCAAAGCACTTGGAATATTATCTGGTATGTAGTCACAGCTACAAAGTGTAAGCTATTAGTCATCTGGGAAAATGCATGTGGCAACAATTCCTTTCAATGTGGAATAAAAAGCCTGACACCGGCAATTAAAGATACATGACCTTGGCTAAGTCACTTGCTGTCTCTGGGGTTATTTTACTTCTTCAGCTATAATATGATGAAAATTATATCTACTCCGCTTACCTCACAAGGCTGCCACAGAATCAGAGATGATGGATGCTGAAGTCTTTGAAAACCTCCAAGTCCTTTATAAATAAAAGGCCTTGTTAATATGAATTATCTTCATCCAGATGATCTGATTAATGTGCAATCAAGGCAGTGTTTCATCCCACGCTGTTTTGCGCAAGGAATCATTAGGAAAGAAAATCTGCCGCTGACATAAAATAATATATTCCCCAGCCAAACCCAGTTCAAAAGCCTTTGGGACTGTGCTGGGATTTGAAATATCTTCCACCATCTTTTGTACCTAGCGTGAAGTAAAGTTGATTGTAATAGAAAAGTTATTAAACTGGGGGTGAGGACACCTGGATTATAGCTCCCAGTTCTGCTGTTCATTTACTGTCATCTCACATGAGTCATTTTATTTCTCTGAGCTTCCCTAGTCTATAAAATGATGAATGCTTATAATACTGTGACTGCACAGCTTTTGTGACAAAGTTATTCCTGGGCATTGGGGTTCTGGTGACTTCTTGGTGGACTATCACCTTCCTGGCCACTGCTAATTGTTGGAGCACTCCAGGGTTAAACTTGGGTCTTCTCTTCTTCATCCTCCTTTTTATCACTTTCTCCCTAAATGATCTCCTCCAGTTCCATGGCTTTAAGTACATCACACTTTCAGTAAAGTGCATGTAAGATATTTAATACACACCTTCAGCCCTGACCTCTACAGTGAGCTGTAAGCAGAGATGTTTTCAATTGTCTACTTAACATCTCTCCTTAGCTATCTAAGATGTAAGCACCTCAGACTAAATATTTCCAAACAGAATTATTATTATTAATATTCCTATTGTCTGTGTTGTTCAGCTCATAGAACAATGCATGGCCATAGTAAACTCTCAAAAAATATTTCAATGAATCAGTGAAAAAATATGCATACAGTATTCACACACAACTGTTTGTACAATTATGTTTAACAACATGACATTAGAGTGATGGGGAAAACACCAAAATGTTAATGGCTGTGCATGAAATTATAAGTTTTTTTTTAATTTAAAATTTCTATTTTTCACTTCTTGGTAGAGTATCACCTTCCTGGCCACTGCTGATTGTTCATCATAGGGAATTACATCTACCCTGCTTACCTCACAAGGTTGCCACAGGATCAGAGATGATGTCTTTAAAAACCTCCAAGTCAAGAATATCAAACTTTAGGGAATGATTAACCGGGGAACTTATATGCATATATGCAGAGCCCCTGGACACAGACAATAGTGTGATGAAGGCCTGGGCGAAGAGGTACAGGGTGGAAGGGGTCCGTGGGAGAAAAAAAGAGGGACATCTGTAATACTCTCAACAATAAAGATAAATTTAACAACAAAATAAGGAGTATCAGACTTTGGAGCTGAGCGACCTCTGCAAGACTGCACTTACCTTCCTTCCTTCATATGCCAAAGGGGCTTAAAAATAGGTGCCTCATTTATATTCACGCAGCATTCACAGTGCTTGAGGAACTGAGCGAAGAAATAAAATGGAGTCACTATAGTGAAGCTGCTACATTACGAAAATCAAGTAGTTGGAGATATGGGGAAAGGCTGTGTCAATGCCTGCATATACCACAGACCTCAGATAACCCTCTGATTACCCCCCTGAGGGACTCAGATCCAAACCAGGGGTCATCTGCAGGTGTACCATCTTGCAACAGACCTCAGATAACCCTCTGATTACCCCCCTGAGGGATTCAGGAAAGAATGGACACAGATCCAGACCAGGGGTCATCTGCAGGTGTATCATCGTGCATCAATCCAGAGGCTAAGGATGCAGGACTGATCCTTCTCAAGAATACAATTTAAACTATAAGAACCCCCAGCTTTTCTTTCCTTTCTCAGAATACTCTGGGTTGTGCCTAGCTGTATTTTCTGTTTGCAAACCCTGGGAACCTTGAATAAATCTTTACCACATATTTCTAGACAAAGGTTCCTGATTCGCGCTTTCCTGTGAAACTATGAACGTGAAGAACTTCGCAGGGTGCAGGATACATACTAAGTGGTGGTGAGTGTGAGCTGATAATGTTATACACGGTTTCTTTTGTAATAAAAATACACATTTTCCTTATATACCTTTACTAAAGGGAGTAAAAAGAACTCCACCGACCTACCCACCAGCCGGCGCCTCCCCGTCCCCGGCTCCCCCGAGGGTGCGCCTGCTCCGTCCCCTCCTTCCGCCCACGTGACCCTCCCAGGCTCCTCCCCGTTTCCAACATGGCGGCGCCCAGGCGCGCCGGTCGCACGTGAGAAAGAGTTTGGACACCTGGGGATCCGAGAGCGCAAGTGTGTCAACGAGTTTCCCCTCGTTCCCTTCTGTTGCATCCCTCCGACCTCTCCCCGGGCCCTCGTGGGCCGCCGCCGCCCCGCCGCCATGAAGCCAAAGCCGGTTTCCCACAAGACGGAGAACACACACCGGGTGAGCGAGGGGCCGGGGCCGGGGGCCAGGGCCGCTGGAATCCCAGCCGTGGAGTTGGCCCTGAGCGGGATCCGGGGGCCGCAGGGTTCTGGGCTTCGCCGGAGTCACTTGCCCGGAGGCTCCAGCGAAAGGGGGGGCTCTCCGCGTGTAGTAAACATGGGGCGGAGAAAGAAGTCTAGCAGCTAATTTCGCCCGTGGTTTGTGGGGTCCGCAGTGCTTAGGATCCCCTTCCGCCGGAGTTAAACTCACTCTGACAGGCGAATTCCTTAGGTCCTCAACCTGTGGTTCGAGACCCCACGACCCTTTCACAGGGGCCGCCTAAGACCATCGGAAAACACATATATAATTACATATTGTTTTTGTGATTCATCACTATGCTTTAATTATGTTCAATTTGTAACAATGAAATTGGGGGTCACCACAACATGAGGAACTGTATTAAAGGGTCGCGGCATTAGGAAGGTTGAGAAC